CCTCTTCATTACTAAGGTCCCCAGGTTCACGTTCTTAATTAGAACATATGGAGAACAACAGCTGAAGCAGCTCAGACGTTCCCTCTGACGACTTGTCTCCTTGTCCCTTTGCCTTTCCTGACACTCCACCCCTTCAGTCTCCCCTCAGGTACAATAGCCACGTCTTTCTGAAGTAACAACTGACCTAAACATGGCATTATACTCCAGCTAAGGCCTCTCAAACTGTTTCTGCAAGGAAACGCTAATTCTGTAGGTCTAGACACAATAATTGTTCCAGTGGAGTTTCTAAGGTATGGAGTTTTGATGGTTTTATTAACAGAAAGGTTTCCTCTTTTTTCCTTACCTTAACTAGAAGCTTTTTCAGAATGATAAAAAGCACACGTATACACACACACACACACACACACACACACACACACACACACACACTGAGATTCTAGCTGTGTGTTTTTGCTTCACACCTCTAAGCTTTTTTTTTTTTTTTTTGAGACAGGGTTTCTCTGTGTAGCTTTGTGCCTTTCCTGGAACTCACTCTGTGGTCCAGGCTGGCCTTGCACTCACAGAGATCCGCCTGCCTCTGCCTCCCCAGTGCTGGGATTAAAGGCGTGCGCCACCACCGCCCAGCCTAAACTTTTAACTTTAATGGCTACATTAGTTACTTTTCTGTTTCTTATACAACCTACAAAAAAAAAGATCATTTTGGCTCTGGCTCCAGAAGGTTAGAGTCATTAACAGAGGAGAACCCATGGCAGCATGCACCAGGTATGGAAGCAGGAAGCAGAGAGCTCACGTGTTGACTGCAAGCAGGAAGCAGAGAGAGCGAACCGGAAGTGGGGAATGCTTTTACATCCCAAACCCACCCCCAGGGATGCACTTTCTCCAGCAAGTCTGTACCACCTATACCTCCCCATACAGCTCCATCATCTAGGGCAGTGGTTCTCAACCTGTGGGTCACAACTCCCAAAGGGGTCACATATCAGATCTCCTGCATACCAGATATTTATATTATGATTCATAACAATAACAATATTACAATTATGTTGCAACGAAATAATTTTATGGCTGGGGGTGACTACGACATGAGGAACTGTATTCAAGGGTCATGGCATTAGGAAGGTTGAGAACCACTGATCCTAGGGGGGAAGTGCTCAAATGTTCTAACTATGAAGGACGTTTCTTCAGATCACTACAATGTCTCTGCTATGGTCGCACACATTTGATGGAGTTTATACACAGCCTTTCTTTTACTGTATTTGGTTAATCTTTAACTTCTGTGCCTTTTGTTTCTCTGTATCTCAGGAAAATCTTCAGATTCTAAGTATTTTCATTTTGTTTTTGTTTTTAATCTCCATGGTAGGCATAAAATGTTCAACTTGGAAGTAGCTACTTGTTAGAGGATTACTAAGTTATCATTCCTTCTTTCTGCCTTCCTAAGGGCAAATGGGGTTACATTTGGGATCAATTTCCCACTGCTCTATAGTAGATGTGTAGTTTGAATGGGTTTGGATCTGTTTCTGGCTCCAGGTGTGGACTCTGATGTGACGCCACCCGTTACCGGCTGAACTTGGAGAATTAATTGGGAAGGAAATGAATCAGGACATGAAGATTCTCTGACTTCAGGGACTGGCTCAGGTTAATGCAGAGTGAAATGTGAGAGTTTATATAACAGTGGGAGGAAGACAAAGCCCTCGCCCTGCTCTGGGTGGTGTGGTGTTTACAGACGGCACCTGGAGTGACGGCAGCTGTTCATCGCCATGATGGAAGTCAGAGACCTACAAACAGAAGCCTAGGCGGAAGTGGAGCCAACCAGATGAACTGCTGGAACCTTATCCTGGTTCCTGTGCTAGCCACCACTAAAGCCTTCTCAATGCCGCTCAACTAGCAGATATATGAGCTGGGACATATTTGTTTCACCAGGATTCTCTAGTCGATCTGATACAATGAAATAAATGTTCTTTTACATCTAAACTTAATGTTCTGTTTTCTTTTACTTGTAGAGCAAGATTTTTTCCAAATGTATTATTTTCAAAAATACTTTGTATATTTAATTCCAATTTAAGGATAACTTGAGCCTTTGTTTGTTTGTTTATTTTTTAATTTTTTGAGACATGATCTCATATGAAGCCCTGGCTGGCATGGAACTAGCTACATAGACCAGACTGGCCTTGAACTTATAGACATCCTCCTGCTTCTGCCTCTCCAGTGTGGAGAGTAAAGATACACACCACTATACCAGGCTATCACTAAGTTGAACTGGATTTTCCAGTCTGAATGAAAATTATTATTATTTTTTATGGCTAAAATTGTTTTTAAATACTCTTAGATCATCAACTGACTTAATCCTAGGGTAAGTTGTTGAAGACACACTAGATATTTTTAATAATACAAATTTTAGTCACAAAGCAATACAATTTCATAAGCTCTTTTTTCCTTCTGTAAGACAGTGCTGTTTAGATATTAAATGTTTTCATGTGCTTCCTATAGAAGAGACAGACATTCTTCTTCACCCTGGAGCTTGCTGAAAGGACAGACCGTCTCTTCATTTCCTGTTTCCTTTCTCTGCATTTCCATGTGGTAACTCATCTGAATTAAATTTCTTCCTTTAAAGTCTAGAATGACTTTGCTGTCGTGATGATACCTGAGTGATGCAGAGTGGAATACTGAAGCACACTTTCAGACCACTGTCTTGAAGTGAACATCAAGAAATAAGAAATGCCAGGAGGGGACAAGGGAGATAGCTAGGTCAGCATTGTGCTTGCCATGCACGGAGGAGAACTCCCAGCACCCACGGCAAAGAGCTGGGTAGGGTGGTGCATGCCTGTGATCCCAGGGCTGGGGATGTGACAACAAGAAGATGCCCACGGCTTAGGATTGGTGACCAGGCAGTCTAGTGAAATCAGCAAGCCTCGGGTTAGTGAGAGATCTGATCCCCAAAAAGTAAGATGAGGAATAACTGAGGAAGACTGCTGACATCAACTTCTGGAATCCACAAGCAGATTCACCTATATGAACACACACACACACACACACACACACACACACACACACACACACAC